ATAGCTGTAATAACGGCTGATGAGTGGTCCGCGACAACCGCGTGCGGCAAATCGATTACCCAAAATCGTTCCTAACGTCCGTCTCCCTTTCAAATCACCTAACAACTTGAATGAAAAGAGTTACCTTGCAGCCGACATGAAGCTTTCACTATGTTCCTCCCCAGTTATGCAATCCTCTGACCTGAATTATTAAATTCTAGTGGCACTCATCACAACGAATACATACTATTCGCTATTGGGCTTGCTGATATCCAGTACATTTTGGTTGTACTAGGTTATCCGGGAGACGGAACATTCACCCAATTCTGGATGGACGCGACAAACTGCGCGGCGAAACTCGTGGTGATTCGAACGACTCTAGCGCGTATCATTGGGGTACAAATTTGAACTAGGGTAGATAAGTAGCATAAGCTGGCCCTACTTATCCAATTTTCTTAAAACCTGTGCCCAATGATAGGCACGAGAGTCTCTCAAATCATCACGAACTTCGTCATGCAGTTTGCTTCGTCCATCCAAATTTGGGTGAATGTACCCGTACCTGGTTACCCTAGCGAGCTACTTATTCGTTTTGAAATCACCGGGCATGATTACTTGATATGTGTTAAAATGACCAGTGGCTTTCTGGCAGAATAGGTAATTGAAGTAAGTAACTAAGTAATTAACGAGAATTTAAAGAATGTAAGAATTGTGAAGATAAAGGAACAGCTAGCATGTCGTAGGCAAAAGGGAAATGAGACAACCGCCGTGGTTAGTGGCTAAATCAGCCACTTTGGAGCACGGCAAACGGACCATTCTGGAAACCATTATGGATTTGGAAAAGACAAATTTCAATTCTATTCAAGCTTACATAGGATTTGCTGTGTTGTCGCTCACAGTCCTTTCCCATGCTGTACGCAAATGAATTGGTCCTTCGCTGAAAGTGAATCATCGCTAAGTATACGTGGTGATCAGCTTTTCTGAAGCATTGCTATTTCATTGTGGATTCAATTCCTAAGAAAAGATGACCAAATGGGGCCTCAGAAGCAGCAATTCTCGTATGCACGACGCGATTACTCCTTTTGATTTGCTTTGCTTCTTGGATCATTTTCAGAAGTTACGTGGGCAAACGTCGTCGTAGGGTTGCCCGAAAAGCACATGGGCGGTTCAAGTCCCATCTTCCCAGTTATTATGTTGAAAGTTGCTTTTATAGACTAATAACCTTAGTGAGGTATGCTTATATTCCATTCCGTGAGGGTGTTAAACACAGCTTCGGCTTCCTTGGGAAGCTGCCATGCATTGGATAACATAATTGTAAATGTGTATAAGAGAAGGCGACTCACACAGCGGTTCGAGTATCATCCGTATCAAACAGTGATCCCAACATTAGCTTCGTCTTCAAATTTTCAAAAGAATTCGAGTTTGCTGTTCTCAAATCGGCACCACAACCACTCTCTTCGTCTCCACCTTCTTTCTGCACATCTGCGCATTTGGCGCTGAGTATAATATCAAAGACTCGATTCGCCGCCTCGATTTCGGACTCGGCAGCCTCGGCAGTTTCCATGTCTCCTGTGTATAAATCGGCTGTCATGATTTCAACAGATGAGAGACTGCGAGCAGAGCAAAGGCTACTTGGAGGTTCCGTACAGTTTGACAACCAAATGCCGGTCGATACTGAATTCACACGACGAGGAATGCTTAAACCGTCCACCCACCAACCGTAGTTCGCTGTATGGACGGATTCTTGGCAGGACTCCGACTCAGATGGATCACTGCTGAAACTGCACGTGGCAGCGGTTGGATAGAGCATAGAGGGATCGTCAGCGGTATCAAGGCTGCTGTTCGTAGTCGAGAAACTGTAGCATGAATCTGAGATGCCATCGCTCGTATATAGTAACTCCAGAGGGTCATCATCTTCAGTGCTGTGATCATCACTCGAGTTTGTTTTTCCAGCTGCACCTCGAATCGCTATAGACGAGCCAGACGATGGCTTCGATGAGAACGATGAGCTTCTCGCGGTTGCAACTCTTTTAGGTGAAGAACGAGGTGGACATTTAGCTTTTTCCGGTTCATTGACCGTCTCCTTTGAATTCCTGGCTATCTGGTTGGTTCTGAAAATGGGTAGCTCAACTTACTGGGACCTAGTTGATATTCGAAAAAGCATGACTCCAAATTATGGTTACTCACGGATATGAGGAACCCCTGGGATTGCTTTGTACCCACTGTTAGACATGATTTGTACAGAGGTCCGACTTTAAAGGCACCGTTCACGATAATTTAAGGTACCCTTTTTGACGGGAATTGATAGAACTACTTTAGAATAAAGCGATAACAACGAAAAAAGCGCAAAAAACGATGAACAAGAAGAAATACAAAGGGTCAAAAAAGAGCTGGAAAGGGGCGTTGGACGAGTTTCACATTGAAAGAACGGCGGTTAGGGGGTGTTCGGGCGAGTGCACGAAGGCGACGCAATGTCTGC